ACAATAGTTCCTCCCCCTTTTGAAAACGCATTAAAAAACATTCTCATTTCATTACCAACAAGGCACGTTTAAGATGGTTGAAACCTTTAAATATGGGTTACAATTATTTTACCTTCAATGCTAAGAGTTGTTGTAACAATAATCTCCTCTCCAAATACAATATCTGAATCATCGACTTTCAAGGGCTCTATGTTTGTACTTTCGTGGCCTAAAACCTCGAGGACTGTCTCGTCTAGCTCGGTGGTCTCTCAACCTCCCCCTGTACCCGTCTTCTTAGATTCGCTAACCTTTTTGAGAGTAGCCCTGTGAATACTGGCCCATAAAACATCTAGAAGTGTTTAGGCGCTGTCTATACTTGCGCCAACGCCGTTTAATTGCCTACGACTCTTTTCCCACACTTCTTGCTTTACTCTCTTCGTCACTGTCGACGAAAATGGCGCCAAAACTATCATTTTATGTTCCTTCACGAGCTGAGCCAAAAGCAACTTTTGCTATTCGAAGAACATGCTCAACGTCTGTTTACAAATAAAACTGTAAGCAAAGGAAGCAAAGCCGCATATATTGAAAGGACAGCAGCGACTTTTAATTGCATATGTAAAAAAATCGCTTATTACATTCTAGCGGAGTTAACAGTTGTAAGAAGGCTTCTAAAATTCTACAACTGTAACTTACAATTGTGCTCTGACTTGAGATACACGTGTAAATTCCGGTGTAGAATATTGTTTTATTAAATACATGTATTTACAAGTCAGACTTTACCCGTGTAAATTACACGTGTAAAAGCTACAAGTGTATTTTCTTTATAAAGTAGAGGGCAAAATGACTGAATGCTGCTTGGTAAATGAAAAGGGTATTTTTTTCTTAATTTTGCTTGAGAAGAGGGCAAAATTACTAGAGATAGTTTGCGAGGAATAATATATCGAAGAATTAAAAGACAAGAGTGAAAACGAAAACACGAGGAAAAGCACGGAGTACTGGAAGAAGGTTTTTAATGAGTGGGCGAAGCCTATCAAAGTCCTGGTATCTTT